CTTATCTCTATGGGGAAGTGGTCAAGAATTTTACCTCCGTAAGCCATGCATGTCGTAAGGCAACTAAAATACCAAGAGCAAGGAGCTAGTAGTCCCTTCTCCTGTAAACATTACTAAATTTATTGAGAAACTTTTGTTTTCCTTTTTGGGATACCCTGCTTCGGTGAGATACGGCCAGTGCATTGAAAGAAGAAATATATGTAATGTATGTATGTATGTGTATGTACAGTTTCTGTACTCTTATGTCCTGGAAGTGGGAAGTACTGTCGCTGCACACTGAAGGACGGGTGGAAGTAGAAAGTACAGTGCCTGCACTGTGAAGTCCTGGAAGTAGGAAGCACTGTGCTTGAACACTGAAGGAGGGGTGGAGGTGGGAAGTACAATGCCTGCACTATGGGGTCCTGGAAGTAAGAAGTACAGTGCCTGTACACTGAAAGAGAGGTGGTGGTGGGAAGTACAGTGCTTGCACACTGAAGGTGGTGGTGGGAAGTACAGTACCTGCACAATGAAGGAGGGTGGTGGTAGGAAATACAGTGCCTGCACACTGTAGGAGGGGTGGTGGTGGGAAGTACAGTGCCTACTCACTGGAGGAGGGTGCTGGTGGGAAGTACAGTGCCTACACACTGGAGGAGGATGGTGGTGGGAAGTACAGTGCCTGCACTATGAATGAGTCTTGGAAGTAAGTACAGTGCCTGCACACTGAAGGAGGGGTGGTGGTGGGAAGTACAGCACCTGCACAGTGAAGGAGGGTGGTGGTGGAAAGTACAGTGCCTGCACACTGGAGGAGGGTGGAGGTGGGAAGTACAGTGCATGCACACTGAAGGAGAGGTGGTGGTGGGAAGTACAGTATGTACCTGTACACTGAAGGAGGGGTGGTGGTGGAAAGCAGGGCCTGAACACTGAAGGCAAGGTGGTGGTGGGAAGTACAGTACATACCTGCACACTGAAGGAGGGGTGGTGGTGGGAAGTACAGCACCTGCACACTGAAAGAGGGTGGTGGTGGGAAGTACAGTGCCTGCACACTGGAGGAGGGTGGTGGTGGAAAGTACAGTGCCTGCACGCTGGAGGAGGGTGGTGGTGGAAAGTACAGTGCCTGCGCACTGGAGGAGGGTGGTGCTGGAAAGTACAGTGCCTGCACACTGGAGGAGGGTGGTGGTGGGAAGTACAGTGCCTGCACACTGGAGGAGGGTGGTGCTGGAAAGTACAGTGCCTGCACACTGGAGGAGGGTGGTGGTGGGAAGTACAGTGCCTGCACACTGGAGGAGGGTGGTGGTGGAAAGCAGTGCCTGAACACTAAAGGAGGGGTGGTGGTGGGAAAGTACAGTACCTGCACACTGAAGGAGCGGTGGTGCTGGAAAGCAGTGCCTCAACGCTAAAGGAGGGGTGGTGGTGGAAAGCAGGGCCTCAACGCTGAAGGAGGGGTGGTGGTGGAAAGCAGTGCCTCAACACTGAAGGAGGGGTGGTGGTGGAAAGCAGTGCCTCAACACTGAAGGAGGGGTGGTGGTGGAAAGCAATGCCTCAACACTGAAGGAGGGGTGGTGGTGGAAAGCAGTGCATGAACAGTGAAGGAGGGGTGGTGGTGGAAAGCAATGCCTCAACACTGAAGGAGGGGTGGTGGTGGAAAGCAGTGCCTCAACAGTGAAGGAGGGGTGGTGGTGGAAAGCACTGCCTCAACAGTGAAGGAGGGGTGGTGGTGGAAAGCAGTGCCTCAATGCTGAAGGAGGGGTGGTGGTGGAAAGCAGTGCCTTAACACTGAAGGAGGGGTGGTGGTGGAAAGCAGTGCCTCAACACTGAAGGAAGGGTGGTGGTGGAAAGCAGTGCCTCAACACTGAAGGAGGGGTGGTGGTGGAAAGCAGTGCCTCAACACTGAAGGAGGGGTGGTGGTGGAAATCCCAGTGCCTCAACAGTGAAGGAGGGGTGGTGGTGGAAAGCAGTGCCTCAATGCTGAAGGAGGGGTGGTGGTGGAAAGCAGTGCCTTAACACTGAAGGAGGGGTGGTGGTGGAAAGCAGTGCCTCAACACTGAAGGAGGGGTGGTGGTGGAAAGGAGTGCCTCAACACTGAAGGAGGGGTGGTGGTGGAAAGCACTCAACACTGAAGGAGGGGTGGTGGTGGAAAGCAGTGCCTCAACACTGAAGGAGGGGTGGTGGTGGAAAGGAGTGCCTCAACACTGAAGGAGGGGTGGTGGTGGAAAGCACTCAACACTGAAGGAGGGGTGGTGGTGGAAAGGAGTGCCTCAACACTGAAGGAGGGGTGGTGGTGGAAAGCAGTGCCTCAACACTGAAGGAGGGGTGGTGGTGGAAAGGAGTGCCTCAACACTGAAGGAGGGGTGGTGGTGGAAAGCACTCAACACTGAAGGAGGGGTGGTGGTGGAAAGCACTCAACACTGAAGGAGGGGTGGTGGTGGAAAGCACTCAACACTGAAGGAGGGGTGGTGGTGGAAAGGAGTGCCTCAACACTGAAGGAGGGGTGGTGGTGGAAAGCAGTGCCTTAACACTGAAGGAGGGGTGGTGGTGGAAAGGAGTGCCTCAACACTGAAGGAGGGGTGGTGGTGGAAAGCACTCAACACTGAAGGAGGGGTGGTGGTGGAAAGCAGTGCCTCAACAGTGAAGGAGGGGTGGTGGTGGAAAGCAGTGCCTCAATGCTGAAATAGGGGTGGTGGTGGAAAGCAGTGCCTCAACACTGAAGGAGGGGTGGTGGTGGAAAGCAGTGCCTCAACACTGAAGGAGGGGTGGTGGTGGAAAGCAGTGCCTGAACAGAGGGTCATTTAAACTGTGATGTCTACATACCTTTGGCAGGACAGTTACTGCATAAATAATGGTAAATGTTTTTTCCTTTTTTATATTACATTACCTTGGTAGAAAACAGCTGATGTAAATACTTGTATTTTATTGAATGACCAGAGAATACTATACACTTACAGAAATTAGAATAAAAACATTATGAAATACTGGAAAAAATTTACTTGTTTTCTTGTGTATTCTCCATGTTTCTTGTTGAGTACTTGTTGAGGCATTACTTACTTCTGATGCACACACTGCTTCCACTCTACAAATACTGACTACCCATGGTTTATACACTGAGAGATGTATAGCTCTCAGTGTACAGACACAATATATATCTTTGGATACATACTGAGTGGTGTGTATCTTTCAGTGTATATACGTATACATATACACTAAGGTGTGCATCTCATTGAATATGCTGTACATTGAAGTGTATATCTGCATATACACAGACATGTCTTCTCAGTATAAATCCAATGAGAGGCATACATTTTGATATACTGTATATACAAAGGTTTCACTTTTATCCCTCTTTTAATGATTAAAGTATATTCTTGAGTATTAGAATGCAGGTAAAATGCAACCTTCATGACCATCATGTGGGCCATAGCTTTTAAATCTAACCAACAAATAATAATTAGTACAAATAATCACAACTGCTTAAAATGCCATGTACTACTAGTCTAACCAGAAACTAACATCATTCTGAAACATTTTTTTTTATTATTTTTTTAAGTCTTTAGTACAGTAGATCCCCGGATTTTGTCCAGTGTGGATCCTGTACAATTCGGAGTTCAACCACTTTTTTTGGCTAAATCTTACCCCGGGTTTATACATCCGCTCAGAAATTGTCCATACCAGATGCTTCCACCTGGGCCGCTCGTGCATTCTTGACTCACTCTTGGGCAAATTAAACGTCTTATTTTATGTTAATATAGACATTTTCATTAATCCATATATGATATTTTCTTCAAAATTATATAAGAAACATGTTACATAGCATATAAACATGCAATGTTGATATGCTATGGAGGGGTGGAAGTCAGTGGAGGGAAAACATTACGTTTTCTCTCGTCCAGCATTAGAGAAAACGTGTATGAATCTGTGTTGGCCCAGTCACTGCCCTTAATACATAGCGCTTTTGTTTACAATTCTCAGCATGAATTATTCATTACTTCTCCCTTTGTTTATGATAGCATCTAAAGGTAGTTGTTAGAAACGATTAAATTCAGTGAACATGGTATGTCGATGGTAATAATATGGCTCTGGGCCACAGTGTAGGTAGTCAGTAAGTGTAGCCCAGGCAGGCTACACCTACTGGCTACCTACACTGACTTCCTACAAATAAATACTACTCACCTCTCACCCTACATTAAGACTACAAATATTTTAAGGTAAGTAATGAATGCAATGGGTATGCATTTTACTTTTTATTTTTTTTTTAATGCCTAGTTCTATTACTAACTCAATTTATTTTTTGTTAATATTTTTGGGAGTCTGGAATGGATTAGTAATTGGATTTACACCAATCATCTCATGAAATTCAAGGATGACCGATTAGTGATCACAGAAACTAATTTCCGTAGATGCAAGTGCCTTGAATCAGTACTAATCGCTGTTTTTAATACAATTAAACAAAAAGGCAGCTTCACCATCTCTGAAGTCTTAGCAAAAATCCTCCTGAAAACAGAAAACCTGCCATCACATAGCCTCTCCTGCTAATACTACACAAGCACATCACAGAGGATGAACACTGAAACAGGCCTTCTCTAATCCAACCTCCAATAGAAATATCTGTCTAACCCATTTTTATACTACCCAAGTAATAGCATTTATATCCTTTTACTCATGTGCAAGTTAATTGTTTTACCATATTGTATTACTACTACTACAACTTATATCACTACTGCTACCACTAGTATTACACCTCACTCTAAGCCTATATGTACCCTCTGTGTCCATGCATTGTTTGTAACGGCTTGACAAAGCTCCTGGAGAGCGAAACGTTGCCACAATAAAATGTCACATTAGTTGCACTTGTGTCCTTTTACTGGATTTACATTATTTCTTATGGGAAATATTACTTCGGTTTTCGTCCATTTTGGATTTCAACCGACCTTCTGTAACGGATTAAGGATGAAAACCGGGGGTCTACTGTACTAGAATGCAGAGTGGGGAAGAATATTCTACATGAAGGGAAGTTTAACAGAATTAGGTGCCTGCAACTTTATTTATTATTATTGCTGTATTATTATATTATGTACTGTAAAGCACGAAACCTTTGCGAGTCATTTAATGCTGTAATGCCTGGAATAACCATGTATTTCCTATCCATCCTGAGGCTACTGAAGATGTTAGTCAACAGGTAAATATTCTACAGGTAAATACAGATAAAATACTGTATATATAAATGGAGACAAAATAAACTTTTTTTTGCTTTAGTCCTGTAATATTTCCATTCTGATTTTGGAGGCCTATTCTGGTACAGGGTTGATGATCCTCAGAACCATTAAGAACAGTTACAGTGTTCTGTAACCTTGCATCAAACAAAATTTTGTCACTGAAAGAATGAAGAAATGTGACCTAAAGAAACAAATAAAGCTAATAATAAATATTACAAATGCCCTGCAAGAATATTATTATATTAAATATACTTAAAGGCAGCTTCTGAAATAGTTCTATCTGCAATAAAATGTGTATAATTTAAACTACTAGAGAATAAAATTACTAAACAGAAAGGTTAGAATTTAAAAATTTAATTCCATTTATGAGTTGCTGTACAGTTACTTTCTAAAGAGCATAAACAAAAATATATAATGTATGTTTCAGGCCTCCGGAATAAAAACAGACACGTGTTGCAGAGCAAGCTTTTAACGCTTGTATCATATAATACACAAGTCATATTTAAATGTATATACAGTATATTCCTGAAAGGTAAGGTGGAAGTAGGTGAGCTCTCTGTAGGGGTAAGGTTTCTTGTAGAAGGTGGTCACTTAAGTTAGAATCACTGAAGGGTGAAAGTCATGCCAAGTCCCTGGGTTGATTGTGGGTGTAGAGGAGTAATGCAACAGGTCTACTGGTCAACACTAGGTTTAGAATGTCATCTATTCATGGCCTGGTAACTGTCCATTTAATATATGTGCTAGAGGCTTAGGTAAAAGCACCTAAACATCATGATCTGACTTTATCCCCTATGTTTAAAAGATCAGTCAGTAGCACACAAAATACCACTGAACAAAACCAAGGTGCTTTTTGCCAAAACTCTAAAACACACCATATTATGTGGACAATTGATGAACCATGACCGGGGAATATTCAAACCAGCAGTGACTAGTACTGCTTCTTTCTTATACCATTTTCCCAGAGACTTAACCTATGATTTTCACACTTCAAGTGACCACCTATATATATTATAATTAATGTCCCAATAAAATCTTGCTCTGCAACTTGCATCTTTGTGCCTTTCTGTCCAGGCAACAAAAAGTTTTTAAGAACAAAGACTTTCAGTAATGCTAATTAGTAAAACATCTTCAGCACTGACTATGCATAGATATATCTTGTGTGGTAAGTTATACAATGTTATGAGCACAACACTCCAGCTCTTTTTGGCTACTGGCAAACCATAAAGTTGTCTGTGTTTCAACAATTATTGCTGTAATAATAAAATAGCAGCCATCAAGCAACTTTTTCTACAAACATTTCCTAGTTTCTAAATAATGTCAATATAGTAAAATAGTATATACTGTCTTAACTCCTATTGTTCTCTTCTTTACCCAACCTCTGGCCACTGGGATTGTGTCTATATAAACACCTTTCAAAACTCCTAATGACAACTAGAAATCATACTCAGAAACATAAATCAATAATTTAGCTATAGCTGATCCAGTATATTTTCCCTGTTGGTATAGCTGCATGTTCAACACTAACTGTATCTCCTGGGGACCGGATATTGACTTTACGAGAGATATAACGGCCTGATTAAAGGAAGTATGTTTAAGGTAGAAAAACTCTCTGGTAGCAGCTTCAACTCCTAATGGTGCCCTAGCGGACTCCAACTCCAGCTCGAACTGCACTGTGGTGGATAACCATAGTGGCCCCCGCATGGTAAACAGGTCCACCTGCCCCGTTGTTGGTAAGGACAAGTTGCTGACCAGTGGCAGGAAGTTGTAGGAGTAGCTGAGTGGCTCACGGTGACAGGACTCATCATCTTCAAGGCAGTAGAGCGAGACCTTCTTGCACCGGCTGCAACAAGCATGAGAAATCTGCAGACACTTCAGGAGAACAAGATGGCTACTTAAAATACACTGTGGCTATAAAACTAACAATTTTACACCACAGAGTAACAGTAGTTCTTGTAATTCTTGTTAAATATCCTTTTAATTTATGATGTAAATTAATAATACTGTATTATTGTACATAGACAGTGCAGCCAATTAAAAAATATTCTAGACAGTTGCAGATTTCTCAATATGGTTAGGAGCTACGGCATTAGCAGGTTTAATGCATTAATAGTATGAGCTATTACTAAGCAGAAGAGATAACTGAGCTGGCAAAAATGAACATTTATACATTGTATAGCTAATATCAAGCTAAATATGGGCATCATTCAACTCAATAGCCTCAGGACCCAGACCTTGTCAATATTCATCTATCTATCTAACTAGATGATGCCCTGGTGGACAGACTCAATTTTACATTTAATAACCCAACAAAAAGCTGCAGTGCGACTGATTACAAACTCCTGTAACAGACATCACACTTCTCTGCTTTTCAAGTTTTAACTTACTTAATATATAAAACATCCACACTTATTATTGTGCCTACTACACACACAAAACACTACACTCAAATATAAACCCTCCTCTCAAACTCCTACTTGATATCTACAACAGAACACACAACCATAATACAAGACACAAATCACTCTTCGATATCCCTCGTGTTCATCTCTCCCTGTGCAAAAATGCTGTGCACATAAAGGGCTCGAAGATCTGGAATTCATTACCAGAACACACTACAGGACTCCTGCCTGCACATCAATTTAAGGCTCTATTTAACCAGACAAACCATACTTAATACCTACCAGTTACTCAAAAGCTACACAAAAAAGTACTAATGATGTCTCAATTTCAATACATACTGATTATTGTGCTAAAGATTGCTCAACCATGTACTCATTACTTCAAAGTTACCATGTTCAAATTTCATTGTTCTGAATACTAAATTGTAATACTTCTTATTGTAAATTGTTTAAACTGTTCTGTAATACTTCAAAATTATAATGTTCAAATTTCATCATTTTAAATACATACTCAACTGTAATACTTCATATAGTAAATTGGTTAAATTGTTGTATTGTAATACTGTAATTTTTATAAAATAATTCAAACCTACAATTATTCTCTACTAAACTTCTCTATTAGACTTATTAAAGCCATACATCATTGTATATTAATACTCAGTTCTTTTGTACTCACTGTAACTCCTCTAATGACCATTTAATCTGTTACAGCCTTATTAATCTTAAGTTAATTTTAAGTTTGCCTGAAATGCTCTGCATACAAGGGGCTTTTGGCATGTACGCTCAACTACTATATTCCTTTGTACAACCATGTATCATGTCAAAATAAATTTATTATTATTATTGTTATTATTATTATCATTATTGTTTTTATTACCGATCTTAAAGAGTTGTGAAAATATCTCAAACAAAATTTTCTTATAAACTGAGACAAATCAAGGCTTGTCTCAGCTCAACCACTTCCTTGGCCAGGAGTGCATTTGATCTAGGGAGTTGTCTCTCAATTCCACCATGCATGCAGTCACAACTCTTAATTCAAATCTAGGAATCTCTCTCCATTTTGCACAAAATTTATAGAAAGTTGGAATTAATATTAGAAACCGTCTCTTGACTTATTTCCTTTCACTGGGATCCTTATGTTGATCTTTAGTAGTGAAAGCAATGAATCAGTTCTTCAGCTCTCTATTGGGCCAGCAGAATTCCACTGCAGTATCAGTTTAATTTTGCAAAGCATCATTTTAGTGGGTGAATTTGAAGCTTGGTTTCCCATCCTTCCACAAACACTGTTCATGGATGACTCACCAACAGATTAGGGAACCACTTTCAAATGTGTCCAGACAAATCCCAGAAAAATGTCATCTGTCATCTTCCACTTGCTTCCTGTGTGAAGTGGAAGAAACTATAGACCCATCACATAACAACTGCCCACTGGAGTCATTTTTAAAGACCTCAACTCTGGCAGTTCATTCAAACAAGTCAGTAATCTACTGGCTCTGCCATTCCAACTCTCGAATACAGTATCAGAGTTACTCACCATCACTGAGAAAATTCTAACTTTTTATTGAAGAAAGAAACAATTATCTTCTTCCCTCCCATATCTTGAGATACTTTTCAGTTTCTAGCAGTTACTGTACTCAAGACAGACTTGTTTACCACATGGAATAATCACTGATCACAGATCAGTTAGTCTTTGCAATGGATGTTGTTACTGGACTAGACATAGTTCTGATTTTAATGTTCAAGGAGGAAGTGACTTTTATTTTCAAACTACAAATTCACTGTATACTCAGTATTCAAATGCTTTCCAGCTTTATGAACAGTCAAAGGAGATTATTCTATAACACAAAGATCCATTGAATTATTTGGGTACTTTGATTTAAACTGCCCTAATAAATAATACCACAGAGCCAATGTTCCCAAGATGTCCCTGCCCTCTGAAATTAGTTCTGGAGTGACAACTGGAAGTGTTGTTGACCTATAAATCCAGTCCCACATTTGCTTCACCTAGGGAGATTTTCTATCATCCAAAGACAGTTTTTCTGTTGGCCATTGCTTCTGGTGAAGGGCAACAGAAAGAGATTTTTCTTAAACTACCAATGCCAATAAAAATATGAAAAAACTATGGCTATTTTAGTACTGCTCATGCACAATATTAGTATGCTATTTAAATTTTGTTATCTTTTACAAAAATCAAAAGCCCTCCACATAGGTAGTAGTAGCTGTGATATTTTTGGAGCACTTTGGCTGTACAGGTCACTCAGCACTCATGGCCATAAAAAAATATATACAAGACACAAGAAAAATAAGAATAAAATTAACACACAATGAAAGCATTGAACATAAACACTTAACATAAGAAAATGGTATCATACCAAGTGCTGCCATGAAGGTACTCACTTTTTATGCCTAGTATCACGGATATAGTTGGCAGGGCAAGTAATGCTGTTACATTTGTACCCTCCATGTGTATTGACACAATGCTCATTTTCTCCTCGACAAACATTGCCTGAGTCACACTCATTGATGTCTGTAAGGTAAATTTTACGGACTAATTACAAATTATTTAATTTTCATTGCATATTTTTTCTATATATATTATGAAACTTGCTATTTTTCTATAATTATGTATTTTTTTACTTGCATCTCACTCCTAGATTGGGACATATCACGCCATGGTTCATTCTGTGTGACTGACTTTACGAGACACAGTCAGAAAAAGGAGTGTAGTATGTATATTTTCATGTTTGAGTTAAATATACACACTGAGACTGCTTCGATGTATGTACATCATACACATCACTATTTTTGCTAAGAGAGTGCATTAATTATTCCTGAGATTATTTCCTTGTTTCACCTGCTAACTGAACAACCCTTTTATCCTTGGCAGCTAAACAACTTGCAGAGAATATTGTACTTTCCAATACAATATCTTCATGTAATATTTATTTAAACATGTAAAACTCATCCATACTCGCCTTTGCAGGTGCGACCATCAGCAACCAGATTGTAGCCATCAGGACAGGAGCATTTAAAAGTCCCAATTGTATTAACACAGATCCCAATGCACAGCCGCCCCCGACCTCGGTACTCCTCACACTCATTGATATCACTGCAGGTCCTATCAATGAAGCAGAAAAATTGGTAAACTGATGTGTTAAGATAAAAAAAAAGAATTAAAACATTTAGTACAGTATTTAACTGAATAGTTAATTTCCATTTAAAAATGTGATGGCCATACACTTCTGGAAAGACAGCTAGAGAATGAGAGATGGTGAATGTTTCCTTCATTGGGTGATCCCTCAGTGGTGGGAAATGGCTGATTTATGGTACTAAAAAAATTGTATAACAGTGAACTTTCTACATATTCATCACTGAGTTCGTTACACAATACACTGGCTCATCACTCCAGACAAACCAGACTTTGTTACAGTATTTACTTCCACACAGAGCCAGTCTTCGGAGGTGCGGGGCCCAATTGGGAATAATTTTGGTGGGCCCCAAGTATTGAAAGCAATCAAACTGTGCACTTAAAAAATGCATGCAAGTGATACTCATTTTTTACACCAACTGTGACCCCTTCTTCATCCCCCCCCCAACACTGCCTTCCGTCCGATGTCATCTTTCTTTTCACCCTGTAGCCCTGAATAACTTGCACAAAATTAGTGCATTCCATGAAATAATTATAACAATATATATGAGTGCTTTCGGGAGATTCTGAAGAGAAGCTGCAGAAGCTGGAGGATGAGTTTGGTAAGATACGTAAAAGAAGGAGAGTGAAAGGAAAGACTAAGGTGATGAGGATAACAAAAAAATTAGGTAATATATGATTGGATTTCAGACTGGAAGGTGTATGGAGGAAGTAAATGTATTCAGATATGTATTTCTGAGTGGACTTGTCAGCAGATGGATCAATGAAATACAAGGTGACTCATACAACTGACAAGGTAAAAAAAAAAGGTGAGTGGTGCACTGAGGAGTCTGTGGAGACAAAGAACATTATCCATGGAAGCAGAGAGGAGAATGTATTATAGTTATACCAATGGGTGTGAAGCATGGATGGAGAATATTGCAAAAAGGAGAAGGTAGGAGGCAATGGAGATGTCGTGTCTGAGCGTAATGTGCGGTGTGAATATTATGCAGAGAATCCATAGTTTGGAAATTAGAAGGAGATGCAGGATTACTAAAAGTATTATCCAGAGGGCTGAAGAGGGGTTGTTGATGTGATTTGGACATTTAGAGAGGATGGAACAAAATAGAATGATTTGGAGAGTGCTTAAATCTGTAGTGGAAGGAAGGTGGGGAAGAGGTCGGTCTAGGAAAGGCTGGAGGAAAGGGGCAAAGAAAGTTTTGTGTGTAAGGGGCATGGACTTCCAGCAAATGTGCATGAATGTGTTAGAGAGGAGCGAGTGGAGACAATGGTTTTTATGACTTGACGTGCTGCTGGAGTGTTAGCAAAGTAACATTTATGAAGGGATTCATGAAAACCAGTTAGCTGGACTTGAGTCCTGAAGGTGGGAAGTACAGTGCCTGCACTCTGAATGAGGGGTGTTGATATGTGCAGTTTTTTAACTGTAGTGTAGGCACACCTCTGGCAAGACAGTGATGGAGTGAATGATGAAGAAAGTCTTTCTTCTTTATTCAGGTCACTCTGCCTCGATGGGAAACAGCCAATGTGTTAATAAAAAAAAGTAATGCTGAATATAATTTTAGTGCTAATATACTATTTAGTGCTAAAATACAGGTGCTCCTTGACTTACAATGGTTCAATTACAATGGTTCAACCATACAATGATGCAAAGGCAATTACTTAAGATAATTACCCAGCATGAAAGTGGCAAGTCTGAACTTGTATTCATTTATTTACTGTTCAATACTGATATTTAGTTACTGTAATTATTTGTTTATTTACTTATTCAACGACAGTAGATATTTATTTACTCATTTAGCATATCATATTCATATTTGACTTATGATGGGTCTGTCAGAAGGTAACCCCATCTTTAGTCAAGGAGCACCTGTATGCCTGTTTTGCCAAGTCAAAGGAAATACTACTTTATGCACCTGTTATCTCTGGCAAGGTTGTGGCCAGCCCTGCATGTACACTGATGGCTGCCCCACACGTTGATGCAGTTATGATGACAAATGCCGGGAATCTCGATACACTCGTTCACATCTGTCAATAAGATATTCTCAATGATAGTGATAAAAGTAACCAAATAAATATGAATAAAAATATAGTGAAGACCCTTGAAAAGTCATAATTTCTTTTTAGTATATAAAATAACAGAATAAATGATGGTAAATGTGTTTCCTTCTTTGAGTTTTTAGTGCAGGTGCACAAGTGCACATGCATATACATACAAACTGATCTTTCTAGTATATTTTCATTTTTAGTATATTTTCTTGTTTAGTAATTTATTTTAAACACATAATCAAAACTTTTGTCTAAATCTTTACATTAACTTTGGGACCTACTCTGCAAATTTTTCTCTAGGCCTGTTAACTTCTTCTCACACAACATTTATTTACTACTAATACACAAATTGTGAAGAATAAAAATTTAGTTTAACTAGCTATAATATATAGTCATATTTACTACAGTGGACCCCCGCTTTACGATCACCTCCCAATGCGACCAATTATGTAAGTGTATTTATGTAAGTGCGTTTGTACGTGTATGTTTGGGGGTCTGAAATGGACTAATCTAATTCACAATATTCCTTATGGCAACAAATTCGTCCAGTACTGGCACCTGAACATACTTCTGGAATGAAATAATATCGTAAACTGGGGGTCCACTGTATTACTCTCCATGGAAAAATGGCGACGAAGCCTTTGCCCTCAAACCATGCATATCATAAGAGGAGATTAAAATGTCAGGAGCAAGGAGGTAGTAACCCCTTCTCCTGTATGAATTATTATTTTTTTTATTATCACACTGGCCGATTCCCACCAAGGCAGGGTGGCCCGAAAAAGAAAAACTTTCACCATCATTCACTCCATCACTGTCTTGCCAGAAGGGTGCTTTACACTACAGTTTTTAAACTGCAACATTAACACCCCTCCTTCAGAGTGCAGGCACTGTACTTCCCATCTCCAGGACTCAAGTCCGGCCTGCCGGTTTCCCTGAACCCCTTCATAAATGTTACTTTGCTCACACTCCAACAGCACGTCAAGTATTAAAAACCATTTGTCTCCATTCACTCCTATCAAACATGCTCACGCATACCTGCTGGAAGTCCAAGCCCCTCGCACACAAAACCTCCTTTACCCCCTCTCTCCAACCTTTCCTAGCCGACCCCTACCCCGCCTTCCTTCCACTACAGACTGATACACTCTTGAAGTCATTCTGTTTCACTCCATTCTCTCTACATGTCCGAACCACCTCAACAACCCTTCCTCAGCCCTCTGGACAACAGTTTTGGTAATCCCGCACCTCCTCCTAACTTCCAAACTACGAATTCTCTGCCTTATATTCACACCACACATTGCCCTCAGACATGACATCTCCACTGCCTCAGCCTTCTCCTCGCTGCAACATTCATCACCCATGCTTCACACCCATATAAGAGCGTTGGTAAAACTATACTCTCATACATTCCCCTCTTTGCCTCCAAGGACAAAGTTCTTTGTCTCCACAGACTCCTAAGTGCACCACTCACTCTTTTTCCCTCATCAATTCTATGATTCACCTCATCTTTCATAGACCCATCCGCTGACACGTCCACTCCCAAATATCTGAATACATTCACCTCCTCCATACTCTCTCCCCCAATCTGATATTCAATCTTTCATCACCTAATCTTTTTGTTATCCTCATAACCTTACTCTTTCCTGTATTCACCTTTAATTTTCTTCTTTTGCACACCATACCAAATTCATCCACCAATCTCTGCAACTTCTCTTCAGAATCTCCCAAGAGCACAGTGTCATCAGCAAAGAGCAGCTCTGACAACTCCCACTTTGTGTGTGATTCTTTATCTTTTAACTCCACGCCTCTTGTCAAGACCCTCGCATTTACTTCTCTTACAACCCCATCTATAAATATATTAAACAACCATGGTGACATCACACATCCTTGTCTAAGGCCTACTTTTACTAGGAAATAATTTCCCTCTTTCCTACATACTCTAACTTGAGCCTCACTATCCTCATAAAAACTCTTCACTGCTTTCAGTAACCTACCTCCTACACCATACACTTGCAACATCTGCCACATTGCCCCCCTATCCACCCTGTCATACGCCTTTTCCAAATCCATAAATGCCACAAAGACCTCTTTAACCTTATCTAAATACTGTTCACTTATATGTTTCACTGTAAACACCTGGTCCACACACCCCCTACCTTTCCTAAAGCCTCCTTGTTCATCTGCTATCCTATTCTCCGTCTTACTCTTAATTCTTTCAATAATAACTCTACCATACACTTTACCAGGTATACTCAGCAGACTTATCCCCCTATAATTTTTGCACTCTCTTTTATCCCCTTTGCCTTTATACAAAGGAACTATGCATGCTCTCTGCCAATCCCTAGGTACCTTACCCTCTTCCATACATTTATTAAATAATTGCACTAACCACTCCAAAACTATATCCCCACCTGCTTTTAACATTTCTATCTTTATCCCATCAATCCCGGCTGCCTTACCCCCTTTCATTTTACCTACTGCCTCACGAACTTCCCCCACACTCACAACTGGCTCTTCCTCACTCCTACAAGATGTTATTCCTCCTTGCCCTATACACGAAATCAATGTAAAAAGAAGAAAAACTTTATGAAAGTCTTCTTTTATGGGTCACCTGCCTTGGCAGGAGATGGCTGGTGTGTTTAAAAATAAAATACAATATATTTGAATATACTGTACTGCTGCACGAAACATGCATGGTAGGTATTTTGTGTTGATATTGTATATGAGGAGAGTGACTGAAGTGGCTCACTATTTACCTAGATGTCTTGTATTACTCTATACTCAAGAATGCAATCATGGATAACCAGTTGAAGTTTGTGTAGAAAGCATGTTAAATGTAGTATCCAGTTCCTACAATTGCTTTGACAACATTAGCAGCATTATTCTATGCTATCAAATAAACTTTGGAAGATGGTGTGTTGAATTCATGCATTGCTTCTTTGCTAATATGGGATCTATGTAATGGCATCACTATGAACAAAAGTTTTCTGTGAAACTAATATACTTAGCTTCTTCCACTGTATTCTTTATTTATAACAGATGAATGAATGGAAATGACAACAGTATTAGTAAAATACTTTTTGCATGGAAGTTCATAGTTAGGTTCCAATTTCTTGAAAAGTCTACTGAAACCTGTCTTCAGGTACTGAAAAAGGTTGACTGGTCAACTGTGTGGTAGTAACCCTACAATCATGAATGAGTATGAGACAGTGCACCTGCAGGGATAAGTGTGTGTGCTTAAGAAGTACATTATATACTGTTGCTTTTCCTTGCAATATTCTGGGTGCATTCCCATTACGTTAATACTGAATCTCTTGACTCATTTCTACACATACTCTTTGATATTTATCATAACATGTTACCACCATCTAATCTCTTACACTGTACAGTACACTATTATAACTCACATCACTTTTTCTTGCAAAGGAATTTTAAGCTTCGACTGTCAGAGTTAAAACAACTAAAGTGATATCTTACCTAAACAGGTTCGGCCATCATTGGACTGTTTGAAGCCTTCTTTACAATTACAGCGGAATGAGCCCTCTGTATTCTCACAGACAGCATTACCTGAACATACCTAGAAAAAGATAAAAGCGCTAAGTAGATTTTGTATATTATGTAGCAAGTTTATTATTTATTATATAACAATTTTCAAAAAGATCTTGCTTGTATTTCTCAGCAGTCAGGGAACTATATGCATTTTGTGAACTGTCAAAACAATTGCATTCTCACTATATATGTACCATAATACACAAGGTACATAATGGTATATGGCAGCAACTGGCAATTTCAAAGACAATTTTAGCACCCCACAGTGGGGTAGTTCAGCACTTACCAAATGTCATTCCTTTGTGGCATTAGTAAAGAGAGAGTTCATAATGCTCGTCAATAGCCTGTTGTATGTGAATTGTTTACAGAGGTTAGTTTGTGTGTTAAGTGCTCTCAGGGACCATATTTCTGGCTATGAAAGACAGCTTGGTTTATGTGACTGCTAGGTGTTAGCTAGTGTGATGTAGCATTTTTATATCTGAGGATTGTGGCAGTATCCAGTGTGATATTTATATCTAAGACAGGCAGTTTCCAGTGTGGTATTTACAAGTGTCTGTCATATTAACAAATTCTGGTGACCATTTTGTGCTAAAATCAGACTCGGAGGTCAGTCAATGGTCTGTGTCACTTGGAGCTGCCCAGCCCTTCATTTTTTACCTTATTTTATTTAATTTCATGTGCAAGCTGCAGCCCATGTATTCAGAAGACTATTATGCAACACCTGTGTATTTTTTAATGTATACATGAATTTTCCTATTAATGAAAAAGTTTACATATTATACATACACTTCCAGGGTAAGTTTCACATTCATTAAAGTCTTGACACTGCCGTATTTCATTGAACTTGAAGCCCGTAGGACACTGACAAATGTACCCTCCCTGACGATTAGAACACACTTGGTTGCCTCTGCACTGGTGAGTACCATCAGCACATTCATCAATATCTATAATAAACATGAAGTATAGATTTATTTAAGATAATGACACAATTATTGAAACAAAAAATACTCTATTATTTATATAAAATACTGAAAATTTCCACAACAGCCAAATAAAATAGCACGACACCAAAAAAGTCTTCATACCTATACACTGAGTCCCATACTCATTCATCTGGTAACCAGCTCCACAGTTAAGGAGAGAGCGACAAGTATATGAACCACGAGTATTGATGCACTGCTCATTACGCTGACAGGGTATTCCCTCTGCACATTCATTTATGTCTATGGGAGAGAAGAAAAAAGAAATAAAATATGTCAAAAATGCCAGTGCAGTAAATTAATAAGGTGACAGCCAGTTAGAAAATTATTATGATGAAAGTTTAAATGACCTGGCAATAATCCAATATACAGAGGCCCTTAACAAATATGTTAGTACATTATCAATAGACAAAGACCAAGAGGTAGATGAACAGAATGAAAAAAAAAAGAAGGCATAACATGGTGAGATGTATGTATGAGCAAGTTTCTTAACACCTGCTGCCCTTATTCATCTAGTGGCATTCTAGAAAAGAACCCAAGTACCCAAAGGAAAATAAATTATTCATTAATTACAAGAGAGAAATCCTACTTATTATACTTACCTTTAAAGATGCAGCCCTAAAACTTATGTCTTTGTTGCACCTGTCTTCTATAAAATCCTCCATTTTTCATTTTCATGATGCAAGTTGTCTGTTTATCACTTTATAAGTGTACCATCAGCCATTCCCTCCAGACAGCCCAATTAGAAGGGAAAGAAGAGGGGCAAGGTGGGGGAGGGGGGCTATTTAGTACAAGGCCTGAAGCTCAAATTGGGCCCCAAATTTAAGCATTGTCAACTGAGACATTACACAAAAAAGTCTTAATCATTACTGCTTTTGAACAGATAGGCTTAGAAACATTAGTAATAGACAAAAAAAAAAAAATTTACATTACGTCTTACACTTTTTAGTGTCTTATTTTTGTGTTCAGGTGTCATTTATTATTAAAGTATAGCCCATGGCCTCAGAAACTGGGAGTGTCCTAGGCTTCTCTAGACCATGGTGAGGACCAACCTCCAGACATCTAAATTATCATAGAATATTCCTCTTGATCCTTAACTACTCAACACATCTCTCACCATTTCTTGTGTTCTCTGCCATCCCACATTTCCAATCACTTCTTATTACTTATTCCTTCTAACTTGCACCACTTTTGAAACAATGTACAGATAGTCCCTAACTTACAAATGCTCAGGTTACAAACGTCAACACTTATAAAGGTCTACAAGAAAGAACATTTGAAGGGGTAACTGACATAGCCAACAAGTCTTAAGAAGACACAGGAAAAAAAAGACACAAGAAAAAAAGGACACCATTATTAGTACGGCATTGCACCTACATTAAGTTTTATCAAGTACTGCGCTTGATAAAGCCTTATGCAGGTAAACATTATAATAATAAAGGCTTCCTCTTATTGTGTGTGTCTTCCAAGAGATTATAGCTTTAATTCCTTGGATCAAGAGCCTTTCACCAGCATCAATGCATGCTCCTAACTGAGGAAGCAAAAAGATCTATCAAGAGTGACAGTGATGAGAAGGTGAAGACAAGCACTGCACAGCAATTAAAACCATGAAAATTTTTTTTTTATATATATAATAAACTAACAAATCTCATTACTTTTGTATTAGATAACTTGTTTTTTTACACACTGGCCATCTCCCACTGAGGCTGGGTGATCCCCCCCAAAAAAAGAAAAAAAAAAGAAATACACCAACATTCACACTATCACAGTCTTTGCAGAGGCACGCAGATACAACAGTTTAGATGTCACGCTAAACAGCAAATAATAATATTTTAATAACTTACATGAAAATCTACTCACCTTGGCAAATTCCTTCTATAGGTCTAAACCCTTTGTCACAGGTAAGGTTGATACAGAGGCCACTTTGGATAAGAATTTGATTTTGAGGGCAGGTCTTCTCTTTGCATCGAAAAGAGCCCCTGATGTTGAAACACTGATACTTGGGACCCAACTGGTTACAGTCATGAGTGTTCAGTTTACATTCATCATTATCTGGCATGCAGAAGTGTGAGTAACAGCAGAAAGTTAGTCAAATTAAAAAAAAAAATCATATTATATTATATTATTGTATTCACGAGAAAGTGTTAAAAATCACAGGGGTTATACAGCATTTGAGGAATGAGAGGTACCATATTTTATATCATCAAAGATGCTATTTTTCAAATAAGTCTTGAAAATTTACTCAGTGTCTTGGAGACCAAAGTACCATTTATCTTTTTTTCCAAAATTTAGCCGATCAGAACTGGGGAGGCATCCTTGACACCAGGGTGTCTTGTTCGCCATAAAATAAGGTAATCTGGTTTGATTGAAAGAGGGGGAGGGGGGGTCCTAGATTCCTTGGATCAAAAGCTTCTCATCATCAAGGAACCCCATTGAAGAATTTTTTTTTTTTTAACACACTGGCCATCTCCCACCGAGGAAGGGTGACCCGAAAAAGAAACTTTTACCATCATTCATTCCATCATTGTCTTGCCAGATGTGCGGCAATACAACAGTTCAGATGCTCCTCCAAACTTTGAATATCCCTGCCCTTCCTTCAGAGCACAGGCACTATACATTAGAGAATTTATATAACTAAATTAAATACTGAATATATACAAGTGGGCAGTAGTGGATTAACATAAGAACATGAGCCAGGTGCCTCCAGGTCCTAGGTGTGATACAACCCAAGGCACTATTTTGTAGACAAAGAAATATTTTTAATAGAAAATTAATTAATTAATTTCAAATTAATTAAAGGTAATTTTATTATACTATATAATTTTGAGTAAAAATCCTGGCTATATCTTAAAGTGGGGTTGAGCTTCACCCATTCTGTGATTTGTTTGTAATCTTGTTATTATTATTTTGTGAATTATATTTGTAAGTGTGTGTTGGCCCAGGGCACTATATACTCTTAGTCTGCCCCTGCAAGTGTAAATTACATGCAGAAGTTTGAGTCAAATCACATGCAACAATAAATGCTGTACATTAAAAGTAATTCACTGTAAAAATAACTACTGTCTGAGGGTTAATGAACATAGGCAGCTGTTTTGGAGGAATTCCAGCACATCAGAATTAAAGCTTTTGTTAACTGCAGATTTTCTACCAATATGTGTTATGTGACTTAAAGATAATGCATCACCGAAAAATAATATGAAAACCTTTCTCACGCTAGAGAGACGTCTTTAATGCATTTTTTTTTTTTTGGAGATACTTTGTTTCCCACCAAGGCAGCATGACTCGAAAAAGAAAACAAATTCACCTTCACTCTTTCTCTAGTTGTTTTTCTGTGGAATACACATAAATGAATAATTATTCTGCTGTAACCTTGGAATACACTAACCATGTTAATCAGAAGAAGTTTACAAAAATATACATAAAAACATGCAAGATGCTTCAGCTTACAACTCCATCTGACCATCTGAGTATTCAAATTCAAATTTATTTCTACATGAGGGGCTTGGACTTCCAGCAGGCATGCATGAGCGTGTTCGAAAGGAGTGAATGGAGACGAATGGTATTTAGGACCTGACGAGCTGTTGGAGTGTGAGCAGGGTAATATTTAGTGAAGGGATTCAGGGAAACCGGTTATTTTTATATAGCCGGATTTGAGTCCTGGAAATGGGAAGTACAATGCCTGCACTCTAAAGGAAGGGTTCGGGATATAAGCAGTTTGGAGGGATATGTTGTGTATCTTTATACCTATATGCTTCTAAACTGTTGTATCTGGGCATCTCTGCAAAAACAGTGATTATGTGTGAGTGAGGTGAAAGTGTTGAATGATGATGAAAGTATTTTCTTTTTGGGGATTTTCTTTCTTTTTGGGTCACCCTGCCTCGGTGGGAAACGGCTGACTTGTTAAAAAAAAAAAAAAAAAAAAAAAAAGATACTTTGTTTATACAGGAATGGGTCAACACTTGAATGCATGCAGAAAGCCCTTGATTATACAAAGCATTTCAGGAAACTCTATTTCCATACAGTATTACCATATCATTAGTGCCAGAAACACCAAGAATTCTTTGTGCTTAACAATACTTTTTTACATGTAAACTAAACTTTGCATACTACACAAAAAAAAAAAAATCTGTTTGTTTGTTTTGACTTCGTCAAATATTACTATGTACATTTTGCTTATGTTGCCCCATAGTTAATTATTTGCACAAATAAATACAGTGTCTGAATCTGATTTTTTATTAACATTTGCATATATATAACACACTGGATGTCTCCCACCAAGGTAGGGTGATTTAAAAAAAAAAAAAGAGGAAATGGATTTGCTGTCATTCATTCAATCACTGTCTTGCCAAAAGTGAGCTGATAGCACAATTCAGATGACTCTCCAAAATGTAAGTAAGTAAGTAAGTAAGTTTATTCAGGTATACACAAATACAGTTACATAGAATTATCATACATAGCAGCATATGTGTAGAGAACCTAGGATAACCCAAAAAAGTCAGACTGAGTGACTTATTTCCATTGGGGTCCTTTTACCTTATTATTATAATATAAAGGTTATAATATTTTCTTATTATTCTATAATGAAGATAACATCTTATTATCATACTAAAAAGACTATCTACTACACGAGGGCCATTAAGACTATCTACAATATGAGGGTCATTACTAGGAATAAGGTAAAATTTACACGTATGTTAGCTAAAAAATAGAAAATCATTCCCCTCCCTTTCTGTAGCTACATTCATCAGACACCTTTTGGCACTCTTCTTGAACTGGTTCATGCTATGACTGGCTTTGACATGTGCGGGTAGTCTGTTTCATTCCTTTATTGCTGTACAATAAAAGGTGTGTGAAGCCTGGCCAATGACTGTGGGTACTACAAAGTTGTGCTCTCTCCCCCTAGTACTATGATTGCTTTGGTTCCCAACCTTGACAAAATTGACAGCAAGATATTCTGGACACTGTTTGTGAGCAATTTTATAAACATGATTTAGCTTCAGTTGTTTTACTCTGTCTTCAACATTCAGTACATCTAATTGGTGTAATTCATCCTGGCCTACATGTTCTCTTGGTCCCAGCCCCAGGATGAATCTTACGATTTTGTTCTGGGTGATTTGTAGTCTATCTTTCAGTTTTTTTTGTCAAGGCAGAGTACCATGAAGAGCATGCGTAATCCATATGGCATTGTATAAGGGCTAGACATAGGGTCCTGCGAGCCTCAGTAGGTAGACACTGTGCTTGTCTATACAGGAACTTCAGTCTGGCATTCGCTTTCTTTACTACACTGTTCCCTATCAATTCTCCTGACATGCATGGGTCAAAGGGGATTCCCAGATATTTTACTGATGAAACCAAAGTGATGGGCTCCCCATTACACTGGACATTAAAATTATTTACCCTTCTCAGTTTATGTTTCGTGTCAAAGAGAATGGCTTCAGTTTTCCCGAAGTGTTATGATAGTTTGCTGTTAAAACATTAGCTATATCTTGTGGGTCTTTACCTGACACTAACAGGGCACTGTCATCTGCATACAGTAAGAGTTTGCACTTGACACTGATAGGCATGTCATTGACGTAACATAAGAATAATAAGGGACCCAGAATACTACCTTGGGGAACTCCACATGTTATCGGCAGGGGTTCTGATTCCGTTTTGTTGATTTTGACAATTTGTCTCCTGTTGCTAAGGTAGGACTTAAACCAGTCTACAGAACCTATACCGATAGCTTGAAGTTTCCTACATAATATATTGTGGTTGACAGTATCGAAGGCCTTTTGCAGGTCTAAGGTTACCATACCTATGAGGTTCCCCTTTGACATTTCAGTTCTCAGGTAATCCATCAGATTAATTAGGGAGGTGTCGGTTGAGTAAGATCTTCTAAAGCCCGATTGATAGCTATGGAGAATGTTGTTGTCATTAAGGTACTTAACTACTTGAGAGTACACCGCCCTCTCTAGAATTTTGGATATTATACTGAGTATACTAACAGGCCTATAGTTGCTGACATCAGACCTACTATTTTTCTTGAAGATAGGAGTAACTCTGGCCTCCTTGAACCCCTCCGGTACGGTATTAGTGGTGATTGATAGATTTATTATGTGAGCAATAGGGATTGACAGTTCAGAAGCACCATCTTTTAGGAACTTAGACGGGATATTATCAGGGCCTGTGCTCTTAGTTGGGTTTAACCTACTTAGTTCTTTTTGAATAAAATTATGAGATACACTTACTAGTTGACATCTGTTTGGGGTTACCCCTTTATTGGTATAGTATGTTTGAAACTTATCAGAGTCTGTGTTAAAGGTATTTGATGCAGCTGGTAGTTCACTTACTAGTGTTGATGCAATAGATGTGTAGTAGGAATTAAAGCAATTTGTCACCTTAGATGTTTTGTGGCATACCTCATTATCGATAGTGAGTACTATGTTAGACCTGCTGGCTTATGGCTATACCCCAACTGTTTTAGTTGTTGCCAGTGCTTTCTGGGGTTATGCTTATACTCTTCAATTTTTGAGCAATAGTGCGTTGCCTTTGCTCCTTTTATAAGTCTCTGTACTCTGTTCCTCACCCTTTGGAATTCATTTAGTGCTGCAATATCCTGTCTGTTTGCTTTAAATCTTTTTAGCAGCTTGTCTCTGAATTTCATATTATCTAATATCTCAGTATTCATCCAGGGCTCAGTTCTTCATTTAATCCTAACCTCTTTAACTGGTGCAATATTATCAAGGATGGAAGTGAACATTGTTTTGAATTTTTCCCAGGCATCGTTTACATCCATGCAACTTGTTATCTCTGTCCAGTCACAATTGTATAGCCTATTTACCAGTGTTTCTTTACTGTAGTTTCTAGTTGACCTCATTTTTATTGTCCTGTGTAGGCCTATCCTATCCCTAGTGATTTTCCTGGTGCAGTAAATGATGAAATGATCACTAAGGCCTGTGGTAATGACGCCTGACTGACTAATGTTCTCAGAGCGGTTACAAAGTATGTGGTCAATTAGGGTGGCTGAGAACTGTGTGATCCGGGTTGGTGTATTAATTAGTTGAGTGTAA